TTAATCTAAAACACTTAGATCTTTGTACAAATGTACATCTTCACCAAGTTTTCTTCGACGTTGGATTTCTCTTCGAATCTTCAGATCGACRACTTTTCCAGGCATGCTGTCTTCTATCCATAGCAAGAGATAAAACAARTAATCAACTGGACAGAGATGCAGCTCTGACATTCTCTGAAATCTGACTTCACCTTCATAGTCAAGGAATATAACTCCTAACTCAGGTTTAAAATGCACAGAGTTGGGTGAAAAGGGACCCTTATCTGGCAAGTCAAGATTCAGCATAGAAATGTCTATACTCCTATGACCCTTCAGGACGTCTTCTAAGGAGAACCTTGTTTCATGTTCGTTCCTTAGGAATGGTCCTTCATTAGGATCAGGGAGCTTTATTTTCTTCTTCCCACCTTTCTTCAGAGTTGGTCGGTCAGGGACCTTGACATACCTGGACATCCTTTTGATGAGCTCGTTGATGGAGCCCTCGATAAGTGTCTTGTGTTTTGACTTGGATTACTGAATGGCTTGTCTGATCTCCACCCATTCGCTGTATCCATAGCGGCCTAGGTAGGAAGGATACTCGGTAACGGCTTCAAGATTATCCCTGGTGATGAGCATCGAGACCAGTGTTCCATCGTCTTTGGATCATCCGCTGATGCTGACGCTGATGATTGGACGGGGACTTAGTCTCTTTTTCAACTTTGCTTTGCTCCATTGCTTATCCTTGTCCACAAGCTTCAGCTTCTTCTTGCGTTCACCTTCTGCAATCTGAAGGAGTTTGGCCGGGGCTTGGACAACACTCACCTTTTTCTGGGACTTCTTGGGAAGGACTTTAGCAGCTAGAGACTTGGCCAGCTTTAAGCTATCTTCAGCCTGCTTCTTTTGAAGCTCTAGCTTTTCTTCAGCCCTTAAAGCCTCGAGTCTTTCAGCTTCAGAAAGAAAGTCAAACTCACCACCACTAGAGGTACGAAGAAGGATTTTTACTCTAATCTAGTCAAGCGACTCCTTAAGCTGAGACATCTGCTGGTGTGTTGGAGTAAAAGAGCTGGGTTGATCAGATACCCACTCCAATCGACCGCAGGTTGTTGAAGGGATGTGAAGCTGGTACTCTGAAGTTATCACTACCTGAGAGGTAGAGTCTCCAAATAAGGTTTGTGGAGGGTATGAGAAAAGTACCTTCAAGTTACCTTCTTCAGCGACCGCCTTGCCTTTCGACTTGGGGTCCTGGTGCCCTGATGGAGTTGATTCACCTTGTCTTTGCTCCCCCTGGGATTGGGCTTCCCCGAGGGCAACACCTTTGGTGAYGGTTGATGGCTTCTGGAACTTGATGGTAAAGTCATCTTCATCATCGTCATCATCGTCACCATCTAGATCATCTCCGGTGTCTGGAATGACAGGTTCATCATCGTCTTCATCATCATCATCTTCACCATCTTCAACATCATCATCATCACCAGTAGCAGTGACAGTATAGACATCATCCCTAGGGATGGCTATGTCAACCTCAGCTAGAGCTGCTTCGGTGGACGTGATTACAGGAGCAGCAACCGCTTTAGCTTCACCAGCCTTGGCTTCTACTACAATTGAAGCTGATACTAGACCAACAGCCTGAGAGGTCGTAGGAACAACATCGGATGATCCACCAGCGTTGGACCTCATCTCCCCCTCTCTGGCTAAGACTCTAGAGAATTGGCCAGAGAGTTCGTCCAAGCGCTGTCGCTGGAGAACCATGGAATCCTCCAGCCTTTGCAAAGCATTGGCTAGAGTTGTCGTTGCCTCACGCGTTTGAGAGAGCTGAGCGCGATCATCGGCAGGGAAGGAGGGTGCACTCACTGGAGCTGGTTGACCGACAGCATCCAGGATTTGCTGAAGAAGTCCAGTCTGCTGTTCAGCTATTGCTTGAGCATCGTCAGCCCTATTGTAAAGAACAGCGAGGGCGTCGTTGTTGATTTGAACAGCTTCTTAGAGAGTCTGGAGCTGACTCTGAACTTCTTGAATGTCCGCCTGAAGAGCTACGAAGTTCGCATCAAGATCGCCTTGGCGGGGCATCTCCTGGTGGACTTCGTTGACCTTGGAGAGGACGGTATCAACGGCAGGAAGAAGATGTTGAATGTATGATGCCATATCATAGTCATCATCGACATCCTCATYTCCTCCATCATCTTTCTCTCTAAATCAAGCATCTCCTCCACCTTCAGCAGAAGGATGCGCGAGAGAAGGACCTGCAAAAGAGGAAATATGAGCTGAAGGCTCAAGGTTAGAAGAAATGAAAGGGTAGGAAGATGGAATACCTGAGGGGCCTTCAGTGACATCTACAGGATTGTCACTGGCATGTGCAAAG